TTTACATCATCACTTTAGCTGTGCACTTCACTGCGCTTATCAAACAGTGAGATACAGCCAAGATGAGCAGCCTATGTAACTGACGATAAATACATTTAAAGGCAAAAGTCAGGCTCGTGTTTGGGCATTATGGCGCCTGAAATTGAGTGTAGAGATGGGAGGTGGAACGACAGTGAAGAAAAAACGCAAAGAAACCGTCGACAAGACCGAAATCGAAACCCCTTCCCTTCTAGCAGTGAAGGAGGCTTGCTCGGGGGAGAGCCACGTCCAAACGAGTTTTCCGGATATGCCAGCCGTTCCATCGGTTGATACGGCAATCAACCTAGCTGATCTCACACGTTAGGCCAGCCACGCACCACATCCCGCGGTGGGCGGGACCAGCTGATGTAACGAACCCATCGCTGTAAGTAGTAGGCCAGAGGCCTTGACGGCGCGCAATCTCGAGTCAGGAGTGTGGCATCACCCCTCTGAGCGCATTCCTGGAAATATTAGTGATGGAAAGGCCTTCTATGGTCACCTAATCCTGACTCGTGGCTTTAATAGCGTTTAGCGGTGAAACCTCGGAACGCCTTCCTGTAGCTTCATCGATTGTCAGTTCTGTCAATGCGCGCGGTAGCGGGCGGAGCTAAACTGGTTATAGAAAAGCAACGTTAGAGAGAAGGACTGGGGCACCTTGCCTTCCTAGACTTGGAAGGCTTTCGACCGCGTTCCGCGCGACGTTATATGGTATGCCTTACGACAGCATGGCGTGCCTGAAGAGCTTATTGAGTGGGTGCGCATCCTTTACTCGAGTCCAAAGAGCCGAGTGCAAACGGCAGCAGGAACATCGATGGATTTTCCCATCTCTGTCGGGGTACATCAAGGCTCTGCGTTATCCCCACTCCTATTTGTTGTCGTCATGGATGCCATTACAAGATCTCCAGAAGCCGGCTCCATGGACGCTTCTTTATGCTGATGACGTGATGCTCGCTAGCGAAGATAAAAGCACGCTCGAGCAACAGGTGCAAACCTGGTCCGACCGTCTGGCTATGTTCGGGCTCAGGTTGAACGTCAAAAAGACTGAGAGTACTTGACCACCGATTCGAGTGAGCCAGGCTCTATTAAGATCAATGGTACTGAGCTCACACGTACAACATCATTCAAGTATCTTGGATCAGCAATCGCGTCTGACGGCAGCCTGGTCTTCGAAACGAATTCTCGCGTGAATGCAGCCTGGTCGAAATGGCGCTCGATGACTGGCGTTCTCTGCGATAAGAACATGCCAGAACGTCTCAAATCTAAGATCTATAGAACCGTCATCCGGCCGGTCGCGATTTACGGTGCTGAGTGCTGGCCTGCGACTAAAGAAGTCGAAGCCCGTCTCAGTGTGATGGAGACAAAGATGCTGCGCTGGACAGCCGGAGTCACACGATTAGACCACATTCGAAACGATGTCATCAGAGAGCGATTCGGTGTGGCTCCATTGTCGACAAGATGCGCGAAGCCCGTCTTCGATGGTATGGTCATGTCCTTCGCGCGAATGATGACAGTGTCCGTAAGATCGGTCTCAACCTTGACGTGCCCGGAAAGCGGCGCTCCGAAGCAGCGATGGCTCGAAACGTTGCACGAAGACTTGAAAATGGTTGACATCCACACGGTTTACGGACTACTTGATTTTTCCTCAATGGTCCTGCCGCGATGGCTAGAGCACAGACGATTAGAGAACGGGTGAATGCCCTAGGACTAAGCCTTGGAGAGGAGAGGGACCCGCGAGAGAGCGCAGAGGCGGTAAAGGGCTGAGTTCAAGTAGTCCGTCGACCCATCCACCCGATCAAGCATTTAATCGGGAAAAGTGGCGTCAACATATAAGAAAAGCGGACCCCGCCTACAAGCGGGACAGACGGTAAAGAATGAGAAGTGGAAGATGTAACAGTTAAGGTTCCAGTGTCACCGCGAAAGCCGGAACGAAATTGGTGGTTTCATACTCTAACACCCTTTCTCAGTTACAATCACTTGCTATACCTTTTGCATTCACATGCATACATTTTTCGTCCCGCCTCACCCCACATAACATACATTTGTAAAACATGTTACTGTCAACGAGAAGGGCGTAACGAAACTGGCGACATTGCATGCACTGTTGTCATCTCCTATCACTTACTATCACTTTCTTTCGTTCAATATTTTTTTGGGGTTCCCGCCCCACCTTACATAGTTTCTATAAGTACAGACGCTCTACTGTGAACGTCGGCGTAAATTGGCGACGACTTGAGCCCGTTATAAATTCTTATCAGTACTTATCATTTCTCCGCACACAACCATCGTCCTACAGGGTGCGCCAAAATTACGGAGACAACGCATGAGCAAACAATTTGAACTGATATTCACAGATGCTGTTTTCTTCTGTCCTAGTTTTGGTACTGTGGTGTAGAATTGTTTATGCTTACCTTGTTCAACCACCAAAATCTATGGTAGCTGCAGCGGTTGACTGATACTGACACCGTCCCTAAATCATTGGACTTCGACGTTGAGGGTTTTTGGCACGCGACAATTATCATCGTTTTGGTGTATACCCGAGCACTATCAATAGATGCTCCAAGTAGTACAGGGGACAAGGAGCTGAATGCAGTCATTCTGGATGAGAAGGGCGTGTTTCTGTGGCGACCACGAACAATCTAAGGATTGTGTGCGATAGAATTTGCAGGTAGTTGACGCGCTGGTTTCACTGGATGTCACGAGAGATAGGAATCAGGGGGGCTCTTTTGGACTTATCAGAGCCCATTGCTATCCTGAGTTTATTTTCACTTTGAAAATCGTTGCTGGGCCTTCCATCAAGTAGGAGCTCCCGTTTACGAGGCAAGGGTGGTTCAGTACTAGTGCAGCATTGATGCAGAACCGATTTTTTCGACTTTGTCGGCTTAAACGGTGGTAGAACAGCATTTCAGATCTGAGCTCGATAGGGTACGCTGTCGGATCCGTTCTAGAAGCTGAGGCTTGCATAAAACACATTATGTCTAGGGATTCGTTGAAGAAACCGCTCTAAAATGAGCTTGACGAGTCCTACTCGCCACATTGCGTGCCACAGTCGATGGTTCCTCGATGTTTCTGAGGACCCGTATAAACACAAACCAAGGAATTTCAAAAATTGCATGGATGTCGACGATTCAGAATGGGACTGTGCACGTCACTGCATTTTTGTTTTCAAAGAATTGCACCTTGCTCATCCTAGGCAACTCGAAGTCGCTGTCTCCGTAATTTTGGCGCACCCTGTATATACGAAGTTATGAAATTACGGCGGCCAGACAAACACACACAATAGCTCACAACTTAGCGTTATATATATGGTAGAAAAATTCCAGACCTCAAAAGCTTCCGAGGAAGATCGTCCGCCGATTCGATTCTACGGTGGTGAGCCTACAAGATGGACGATTGCGGTGAGTTTACGAAATCTTTAAGCCACATACAACATGTTGGATATGTAACAACATTCTAGATTCTTGTTCTAGGATACTGATGCGGACCCGATTTACATTCGAGACAGTGATAGCTCGAGTTTTGTTCCACTACCGCGAGCGGAATCCGATGTGAGTTTAAATCGACAACAACAAGAACTGAAGACAAGGGATCTACAGTACTTCCACACAACACATTTTACAACTGTCACGTAATCCTGCTCTGTTCGATGCTTGGGTATAGGAGGGCAGATCCTGACCCTCTATATGCGAGACAGGCTTATTGTCGCACGGTGTAGATACTTCAGTTTCACAAAAATACAGAGATGCTGCAAATAAACCTTTTTCAGTCTCGTCCGTCGCCTGACCCACGTGTAGAAGAGCATTTTATCGGCGTTCGGAGCAGCGAGGAGGTAGGAGAGCAACTTTACGTCTACCCATCAACTCCTAAGTCAAGCCAAGGGTCGCTGAGCGTGCATCGTAAAACTGTGAAGCGGTGACGCGCTCTTCTGCACGTCAAATACAAGCATGGCGGGTAACCCAGTGGGCCGGGTGCAGCAGTAGCTGGCCTGGAATGGATTCCAGAGCAATTCATTGTTGCCGCACGCGGCAAATCTGCTCGACCTTGTGTCGCCTAATGTTTCAGACCCTGAGCTGCGATCCAGATATCGGTCCGTATTAGCAATCGCGCAAAATCAGGTTCCAATTTAATTGTGGGGAGGGATACTTGCTGTCGTGGCACGAGGCATGTCCGCGTCCTTTCAGCAAAAAGGTACTCGCCCATCCCAGCTTTCCACCCTTGTCAGGTGACTCGCCTCATCTCCCACTCCTGGGGTCATATGCAACAGGCCCCGAAGAGCATATATCCCGACGACGTTCGGGTCTCGTTGCCCCTGAAACCGTTACATTCTTCCTGGCTCATGGACTCTCCGCTTCGTACTGAATGGTACATGCCGCGCACCTCGGTGGGGACTGCCTCCTCCAAAATTAAGTTAGCACCCGAAATTTCTGGCTTAGCATAGACTGCTAATATTTTTTTGATCATAGAACTATTTATCGGCTTTACAATTATTTATGTTTATGTTTATTACGCTTATTACGCTGCTAAGGCAAACGCGGTAAAAAAAAACAACCTTCTGAAATCAACGTAATAGGCCGTACAACACAAAAGATAAAAGCAGTTGACATGCGAGTAAACTAAAAGGAAAACTATATAACACATAATCCAACTTCAACCCAGATATTAAAGCAAGACACAAATATGGAATCAATTGATCAGTCTCAGAAAACTAGGAAAGCTCATACTTGGCTAGAACCACTGTCATGTTACGCTTGAACCTACTCAGAGACTCGGGGACGATCAAATTTTTGGTTACTTTTTTGTACAAACTACCAGCTCTAAAGGTGAAACTTCTGGCTCTTATATTTGTTCTAGGCCCAGGAAGCATAATTTTAGTCTGCCCACCTCTCGTTCGAGAATGCCCTGTATTATAAACATCAAAGGAACCAAAGTCATTACACTGGTAAAGAAGTTTGTGGACCATACACACATCAATTTAGGCAGGAAGAATGGTGAAACCTGACGATTTTGTATTATACTATCGCAGAGATGGTGATGAGCTCGATATTGCAATCCCACTTTACTTGGCGCATCGAAATACGCGTAATAAGGTGACCATTCAGTTTTTTCCTTGAATACTTTTCGCCGTGCACTCGTGCGGCTCAACAGTTCCACTTGTGCTAATGCAGCAAGAGCATAGGTATCAGTGAGGCTCATAAGTTTCCAAAGAATGCATTTAAAGTGGTATTGCTTGCACAGTTAGAGCACAACGCGTGTTTATACTTGGCCATCTGCGACGGCGATGGCGTGCTGCTCCGCCATCTTCATATCAAAAACGGCGATCGTTATCCTGCACTATGGCTTTGTGCCTACAACTCAAGCAGGTGTCGCTATCGAGTCGCACTAGTGATTGGTCACAAATTCTGACGCCTACCTGACTCGGGTGCCTTGCTTCTTTTGTACCGTACCACGCCTCTGTGACAGCAATGCGTTGCGTGTTGTAAATTACATGCAGGAACACGAAGAACCCGAGCCGGGCTCGATGTCGCTGTCTTTCTGAGCTGTTGCCATTCGCCAGGCTACTATAAACGCACACATTCCTCATTATACATCCAAGGTTCGCGCAACTCTTACATCCTAATGAAATGATGTTCAGCTTTTCCACTTCCCTATAATTCGCTCTACCGAGGAAAATGGTGCACAATGGTGGCAGGTTCAGATCACGTGCAATATGGCCCATTCGGTCCGTATGCCGCAGGTTTCTGCTATATTCGTAATGATTTCAACATTTTTAAATACTGTCCAGAAGAGCTGAGTGATGTCCTCATGCCCTCAGTTCCCATGGGTAAAGAAGTAAAGCTACGGGATCTGGAACTTGTGGGAAATATGGGTGGAAGTGGTGTGGTGGCAAGTGGCGCGCTCACCACGCGAGCGGTCCGGGGATCAAATCCTGTCCGGCCAACCAAGCCTTCCATCCCTCCGGGGTCGGTTAATTGGTACCAGACTTGTCTGGGAGGATAAAAACACTGACTTGTACATCGGCTGGCCCCCGCAAGTCATTGTATAGGCCACATCGCATTCAAACGCCACTGCGAATGTACAAATGGAAGTAGAATGCGTGCCGCATCCCAAAAAGGATTGATCAACGGCAAATGCTTTATCCTTTTTATGGGCGGTGTCTGTTTCGTTAAAACGTTAAAAATCCCCTACCATGGCTATCGTTGTCTCGCCCGTGAGCCACTCTCTGTATGATTTGAGAAAGGGAGGGCATTAAAAGGCTCAAGAAAACACGGTTGGAATCGGGTGTACTCGTTCGACTTCTATGGTGAGGTGTGTCCAACCCCTCCCTCTCATGTCTGCATTAGGTAACCCATAATCGATAGACATCTAGGCAGCTAATAGCAGCATTATGGAGCGTTCACAGTTGGCGATCGTACGTGCGAACAGGCGATTAGGCGATCAGGCGAGTAGGCGATTAGGCGGGGAAGACTACATACGTATTGATTGGTTTGCTCCGCCCATAGAGCGTTGTAGGCGAGTAGGCGATTAGGCGATCGCTCAATGGGCGGAGCAACAAATCAATACGTATCCTTCTCTTATCGCCTACTCGCCTAATCGATACTATACTTTTCTTTTGAATCATCGCCTAATCGCCTAATCGCCTAATCGCATGTACGATCGCCAACTATGAACGCTCCATCACCCGAAACATCGCGCAAACGCCTTTCCAAATTCAAGGCTATCAAGATTTATCCTTCCTCTTCTGATTTGTTGCTTTTCAGTTTCGGCAGTTATCGGACCTGGTGCGCTGTTATCATCTATATCGTTTTACTGATGCACGTACTGGGCGAATGGAGGTGTTCCCATTATGGAAAGGCGGAATTCTTGATGACTATAAATAAAAACATACTGTACTAGCAACAATTAAACAGTTCATCCAGAATCGTGTTGTGTTCTTTAACTGAGAGATTAATGAAACCTGAGCAACTGAGAAAGCGAGTACAGAGCCTGTCTACCATTTCTGATATTGATATCTGTTATTGGAAATCAAATTCCAGAAAACAAAATGTCACAATTGAGCAGTATGTGGCATCATGAGCGGGGTCGAACCACGCAGATAGATCAGTGGAAGGTCGGCCGCCAGCAAGGCACAGTTTTGGCGGGCGGGAGACGTTTCAGAAGTCTTCTCGTACTGAACAGCCGAGCGGGGCCATCCAGAACCGCGCCTTTCCCCTTTTTGGACTTATCCCGACCCACGTCTTTCGCTGGACTTACAGCTGGAGCCAACCGTATTCTCGCTGGAATTTGTGCGACATACGCTGACTTACTCGCATTCCCATTGTGCTATGATATCGTTTATCATTCACTGTCTTGGTGATTACGTCTTGTCGTTTTTTTTTTCGATAAACTTTGTCTGGTTCGTAAAATTTGTTGGAAGGAACCGTGGCACGGTGTTAACCTCTAGACATAACTACGGCCCAAGGCTACAAGTAACATTTCCAAAGGTTGTCGAAACCCAGCTCGGACAGAAGTCCTAAAGAGGGTAAGAAGAACGATTAATCAACTTTAATTCAATCAAAGAAACTAAACCAAAGTTAAAGACGTCTCAATCTGTCTTCATATGACATATGAAAAATGCCAAAAATGCGCTTGGTAAATTTGGATTGAACGTACTGAATGAGCTCAACAATATTGCGCATGAAGGGCTCCACACCACAGAACAGCGTTCCAAAATGGGAAGAACCCGGTAAGAAAAAAATACTGCATTAACAAAAAGCTTTTGTTTGCAAGAAAAAAGAATAAACTCTGGCAGTTGATGAATTTCTCCGGCATACAAGCGTTGTGAAATTTGGAGTTGTACTGGATGGATTGTGGCCTGGATCAAGGTTCGTGGTGCAGAAGTCAACAAGGGGGGGGGGGCGTACTTGTGATTTCTGATGATTTATTTTCTGAAGATTTATGATTTCTAGAAGGACGAGATGTAACAACGATGGATGCCTATGGGTGATGAGGTCAAACGGAGACTATTCAGAGATTAGGTGGGTGAGGCTGATTCCGAGCCTTGCTTTCCGCGATGATTGGGCTGTTGTAGTATTATTACAATGTTCGCAGGAAGTAATATGAAAATGCCACCATGAAAAGTTTTGTTGGTCTCACTTACTTCTTACTTCTCGACCGCTATTCGTCCCGGGCACGCCAGAAACGCAGGTCGCACATCTTCCAGGCCGCTCTGCTTCGGGCTCTTCTGCGCCACAGCTGGCCGTACAATTTTACGAGAGGGTCTGCCCATCGGGTGGGGGTCTGCCTCTGGGCCTTGTTTTCCCCCTTGGGTACCAGTCAGTCTCTCTTCGTCCAGCGATCATCGGTGAAGTCTAGCCACATGACCGGCCCACCTCCGCTTGGAATTATAGATGGCATCGACGACGTCCTTCACCATCGTACGAGCGCGGATGGTGTCATTGGGTATGCGGTCTCGGAGCGTTACACCCGCACATGGCCCTCTCCATGGCTCGCTGAGTGACTGCGAGTTTCTCCTCTTCAGAGACTGTAGTGCTCAACGTCTTCGCCCCGTACGTCACATTCTTCTTCAGCGTTTATCCCACTTTGCAGCAGGGTCTCCTTTTCTTACATGTTGCCGCCTCTTCCCGATTCAATGCTTGTTTGGAAAGGAGGTCAACTAAATTCAAGTTCCCATGCAGCATGTCAAACCATCGCTGGGCAGCTGACTTGAGCGTCCTAGTCGCCATCCGGGCATGTCGGTCGGGGCTCATCTCACGGACACTCATCATCCGTGCGAAGAAGGTGACCGTGCGTATCAAAGGCGATCTCCGCGAATCTTACCACATCACATATCACGTCTTATCACTCAGCGCTAACAGCTCTGTTATGTTGTCCTTACGAACGTGATCCTAACGCGTGACTTCCGGCCGTCCATCGCAGCATTTTCGCTTCCATTGCAGTGTGACGTGCTTCAACTTCTTTGGTCGCGGGACACTTCTCAGCACCATACAGGGGGGGGGGCTTGAAAAAGAGTCACTTCCCTCCACATTCAAAACGGATTACATGTTGCGAAACCAAACCAAATGAGCTCCAACTGATATTAAAGAGCACATTCTAATCTATCAAAAAGCTACATAACAGCCTTCTACACCGACGACATCAGAAGATTTTCCCACGGAAACATGGTTCACGGTACGAGCTCAACGAGGTCGTCGAGGTACCATAGACCATTACGACGTCCCTGAAACGCTGGTCAAAAGCGGTTTGCACAGTCACAGCTAGTGTCTCTGGAAGCTATTCACCAGTTAATCGATTGAAGAAATTATGTAGCAGCTTCAGGCCGGAGCGATTACGGTAAGCCTCGTTGAGCTCGACGGTGACGGCAGATGACGTCATGTTGACGGGGGCAGTGAAGGAGGGCCTGCTTCTGCTTTTGGGGGACACCTAAGGAATATTCTGCCGTAAAACATTCATCAACAACGGCATCCTGTACGACGGAAAGATTTGATGATGTGCGCCATGGGCAAAGTGACTCTTTTTTGCCCCCCTGTTTAATCGGTGGCTCATCGGATATAGCTCTCTCTCTCCTGTGTCATGGCCACACCAGGCTGTAGCGGTCATAGCGTAGCCTCGCGAATGCGGTATAATGTATGCTATACGAAGTGTTGAAGGAATCTTGCGCGGAAAATTCTTGCACTCTTTCCTAACATGAATATGTCAGTTGTGATCACTGGAAATAGCACACAAAGTTTCACGCATGAAGATTCGGTTTCTGAAGAGAAACAAACGTACAAAAACTACACGTTATGGACCATCGAAGGACCAGGAGGCAGAGCCAGGCGAGGCATGGAAAGAAGACGGCGTTTGGCCGGCTACGTACCAGGCGACGCAATGAGAGAATCGGGTTAAAGCGCGCGATTTCGGAGAGTGGAGACAAATCGATCGATGGAATAGGATGGAGTAGAAGTGTAAGATGTGAATGCAACGAAGCAGAAGGCCAGAAAGAGCTTCTAGTGAATGCACTCCAAGAACCAAGTTTGAGCATCCCCGTCGCCAGCATTCGTGAAAGACGTCCGTGGGCAATTCGAACGCGTAGCAGCCTTTTCGAGTTTTCGAATTTCTAATCAAAACGAAAGCAATACTTCAGTTCTTTTCACTATTATCGTGGATAATGAGTCTCAAGCCAGTGATTTATGGCTGAAATAGAATCATGATTTTTCCGCGCAAGATTCCTTTAATCTCAGATGCAGCTGCTGGTATTAAATAGTATCAGTTCGTATTGATCAGTAGCTCAATCTGTTACACACCATCAACATCAGTGACATTGAAATGAAAGCATCATGCTTATTGTCAGTAATAGTAGGGAGGTCGCTCGTGACTCAGCTACATTGCTTTCTTTTCTTTTTTTAGTATGATGAAACGCTGAACAAGTTGATCTTTGTGACGTCTTTATTTTGTACTTCTGAGAGGAAAATAGTGTGCTTTCTAGAGAAACCACAAAGTAAAAAGGAAAAGCATAGAAAAATCTCTCTTGTACTTCATTCATGCCAGTTTACAGATCGTCTGCCGGAACTCTTGGTGTTCGTATAGCGTCAAGCGAACTCAAATCGACATGTACACTGAGGAAGAAATCGCCTTCGATACTGTACTTGTCAACGTCCATCAGTCGACAGAAGCGCTAAAATTCGGGCAATTGAACGGCTTATCACAAAAAAATACTCAATGACATGCTAATGAAATAAGTCGAACATATGCACCATTGTGTGGTTGCCTTAAATTTCCAAGCCCATTCCACTCGGCCGTGTCCCCGAGTGACGAATGGGCTGCAGGAGAATCGTCTGCGCATATCGCATGACACGCCCCACTTGTCTGTGGTTGGCTGCAGGCGCGACTCAGCCAATCATAGGCAAATGGCCGCATTGGAAGCATTTGCTGTCAACACTGGTGAAGGTGGCAACTCAGCAAATCCTCATGCAGGTTTTCTATGTCACACTTGGCCTCTATCAACTCACGAAAGATATTTGTAAGGGCCTAAACAAAGATGTGAGATGTTGTTGATGTGGAAGCCGATCTTTAACACATTGCAGCCCGCGTGCATCGCCGGGTATGCACGCCAAAACTCCCACATCTGACATTTGTGCATCGCCGGGTATGCACATCTGTATTTTGCTCCCCCATGAACCTTTTCCTACTTCTTTGACTAATTGTCTTCTGTTAGTCTCATGAATCCGTAGAACGTGTGGCATGTCGACAACTTCAATTTCAACACAAACAATCAGATTCTAATACGCCTACCTACTGAACAACTTATCATCAATTACGAAATTTTCATGCAAATTGCGCTCCAAACTTCGAGTTCCTTTGGCAACCAAAAACAAACTGTTATCGAAAAATTTTCCTAATCAACACGTCTACTAGCTCACAGAAATACGTACGAAACCAAGCTAAACACTTATTGGACCTATGAACCGTAGTGACAAGCAAAACTTAAAAATTCATAATTGGTATGGGAACGAAAGCTCCCGCGCCCTTCCAACAAATCTGCTATGTGGGTCCCGTAATGGAAACGCACGAAATGTCCCACATATGAGATTAAAGCATCGCCGAGTATGCGCGCACGCAATACCGCCAATGACACATGTGTGACAAGCGCCGAAATCGGCGCGGGCGTCAATGTGTTAATTCTTAGCCCCGTTAGCCATTACGCCGGCTGTAGCTGACCCGGTAACGCTATGCTTAGCATGATATTACCATTATACGTACTCCAAAGATTTCAAAGGAAGAGATTGTAACAAAAGGAAGAAAACACTACTCATCACCTGAATTCCGAAGGCCGCATTTCGGGTTGTTGGACGTCCAAGGAATGCAAGATTTTCCGGTATTGGATTGGGGATGAATTTTC